TAGTATATATATATATATATATATATATATATATATATATATATACATATATGTATATATATATATATATACCATTTCTAGCGATTTGGAACCCATGAAGTAGAATAGAGGTAAACGTTCACTACCTCAATTGTATTGAGCTGAGCGGTGGTATATAGCGCTTGCGCAATAATTTTGAAAAGCATTTCGCTTTCTTTTTACCTAAGAAAGCATCATCTATAAAAAGGTAAATGCCCATGAAGTAGAAATTATACATAACTTTAACATTGTACATAATGAAAACATAAGGCTACACACATCTGCACAAATAAACACGTGTGCGCGAGGCTTCATATTAGATATGAGTCTGTACATTTGCGTTAAAAAACCGGCCCCCATCTTAATTGATTCGAGCTTTTGTTCTTGCTAATCGTTTATCTCATTGCACACCAAAGAGGACTGCAACGTCTTTAAAAGTACACTTGTAATTTATTACGATAAAAATAAATTCAAGACTACTAAATAAAGGTATACAAACGAAAGGAAGTGAAGCGTGTACGATGAATCTGCCTTGTGCCTTGTACGGCACTATGGATTGAAGAGGGTATGTACATACAAGTCGCTCATTGCGCCCTCACAGTCGCGATATATATATATATATATATATATAAATTTATATATATACATATATATATATATATTTATATATATACATATATATATATATATATAAATATATATATATCATACACACACACACACACATATATATACACACAAATAAATATATATACATACATACATACATAATATATATATAAATATATAATCTATAATATAATATATATATATATATATAAGTGTGTGTTTCTGTGTTATGTTTATATATAAATGTGTATATGTACATACATACATACATACATATATATGACTGAATAGTAAATTCTGAAGTTATAATGTTTTTAATGATATCAAGTAGCTAAGTTTGAGATGTCGCCTTTTTATTCGTCATTCAAACATAAATCTGCAATAATGTCTCGAATATTGATACCGGCTCATCCACTTGCTTTATATATATTGCATTATCAGGGTGAACAGCCACAACTGGCTATTAAAATACCATGTTTGTTTATTGCTCACAGTTGCAGAACTGCCAGTACGTATAATCGTAATTTAAACCCGGGTCATTAGCGGGAAGGGTATTATCGTGATAACTATAGATATATACAATATATCCACAGCAATACGAATAGAGAAGGCACTAAGCCTCATTATATGTCAAATTCTTCTGCCTCTGAAATTGAGTTTAAAGAAGGCCGGCGATAGGCGCCAAATCGGCGCAGGTCCTGCTCACCGCAGTCCGTCGGGTCATTTTCCTGACAATGGTATATGACACCGTTTGCGTTCCTTATGGACGCCATGGCCATAATCTCCATAGGAGTATACGAGCTGATATCCTGTTGCGGGGTTGGACGTATATCCATTTCAACAGTGATTGAAATGCCGATACCGGACGCTGGCGTATTATCCCAGAAGGAATCAGCGGTACTATCCGACTTGGTGACGATCTTTTTCCTTGAAGGGTATGCACGATAAACTGCGCGTTGTGTATACTTTGTCTGCGTATTTATCTTCAATCGCCGACACTTTCACATTCAACAAATAAATATCAGTTCGGTATAACATCAGTGACTTTTTCTGCTTTGCTCTGTGAGACTGTGCCTCTCTGTGGTCAGTTGGTCACTTGAAGTTCAGAGTTGAGAATTTCTGTATAATCTTTCAAAGAAATCTGAGAAAAAAACGTGACCTGACCAATTCCCACAAACCGAAATTCAAAAAAGCGAGTAGTGACATCACTCACAACTTCTAAATAAAGTTTAAAAAAAAAGCACACACAAGAGAGAAGGCCACAAGAAGGCGAAGCTCACATTCTTTCAGAAATCAGATGTAAAAATACGAACTCGTCCGTTCTCAACTTTCTCAATTTTTTATTGTCAACGGTTCCACTTTCCAACTATTTTCTTTTCATTCTATGTACTAGTAGAGAGTATGTATTTAGTTTTTAGAGAGGGATGGTCATGAGTCATACATAACTCGTGGTTTTTTAGGAGGCTATAGATGTTTTGACATGTGCTTAAATATGTATTTTGACTTTATCTTTTTTTTTTGCTAGGAATTGCATTTATGTATAATTTTATATATTTTATATTTTTAGGAGACTAAATATGTGTATAATTCTAAAAGATTTATTATTATTTCTGCAAATAGTTTTTTCCAATAAGAACAAAACAAAAAAGGCATTTAAAAAAAACAATACAAAAAACATTTTCACCCTTTTGCATAGCTTCTAAATTAGACATTTGTTACATTTTGGTTTGTTTAAAAAAACAATCAAAAACAAAAACAAAACAAAAAGAACATAAATAGCCTTCTAAAATAAAGACAAAAACATAGCCTTCTAAAAAAAAAGGCACCAAAAAGAACAAACAAGACTGAACTGGAAAAAAACCCCGGCAAGTGGCCATGTTACTTTACCGTGGGTCCTCGACTCCTCGCAACTTGTCCTTGACCGTCACAAGAAAAAAATGAGACATCTATCGATTAGCTAAGAGGTTTTCGGCTGATCGGACCATATGTAGGTAAATACCATTATACTCCCCCGGGGCCAGAAACACAGCATATTTTGGACGTATTATAATGAATCTTATCGACGTCTAACTTTTCATACTAGAGTTCAGACGCGCAAGTCATGGTTGTAGGCATGTGGCTTTGTGTATATTATACGCTGTGCGCGTGTATTTGTTCCATTCTGAAATACTGTGCTTTTGTGATAAAGAAACCAAACGTCTGTTGCTACGACTGCATGCCTATAAAGTATATGATAGAAATATGAGAAAGTTTGATTGATATCAAGAGTTTAATACTGTTTTTGAATCAATTGAAATAATCTTTAGAGAACAATGATATATGAGCCATTAATACTAGCTTTTGTGATAAAGAAACCAAACGTCTGTTTGTTATTACAGCTGCGTGCCTATAAAGTATATGACGGAAACAAGAAAGAGTTTGATAGATATTGTATAATATTGATTTCAGGCCAATTGAAGTAATCTTACGTAGAGAACACACTAATAATGTATGAGCCATTTATACTACATAGCTGAAAAAAATCACACGCCCCTACGCGATTGAAAAGGGACATCTATCGAAGTGTACCTGATCCCTTTTTTGTTTGTTTGTTGCATATTGTATGTTTTTGTGTTCTTTTATTTTTTTGTTTAAAAACAAAAGCAAAAAAAAAACAACGAATGATTAAGATCATCCACGGCCCTCTGGGTCTCGAGCGGAAATCAAGGTGTCGTTAGCGGAAATCGAAAATTTGGCAGACCCCAATCCGATGTACTCTCTCTCTCTAAATATATATACTCTCTAGTAGTAGTAGTATAGAGAGAGAGAGTATGTAGAGAAAATAGGCTGACGACCTGACGGCTGAAGGCTGACGACCAATGACCATAAAATATAAAATTATAAATGTAAATACAGTAATACACATTAACTTGTAGTAGAGTAGTAGAGGTACTACAGAGTAGGACTCTCGCTATGGAATTTTGGTACTATTTTAGTATTTTTGGCATATGATGCATCATCAAATGGTTTTACTGCTGATTTTGAGTGGTGAACTGGCGAGTGGTAAGTGACTGGCAACTGGCGACTGGGGCGAACTCTCCCTAGAGAGTAGAGAGTAGCGACTGGCGACTGGCGGTGGCGAGTTGCGAGTGGTGAGTGGTTACGAGTGTGGCGGCGACTGGCGTATTATTGTCCACCTCTATTGTTGTTCTCTATTTTTGTCCATTGTTTTTAGACGGACCCACTATTATATATGTCCTATATAAACTATATAGAATGTAGACGGACATTTGCAAACCACTAAGATGCTGCTCGTATAATACACGATATATGGGAAACTACACTGCCAAAAGCATTGCCCATTGCAGGCTGAAATCAGCTTGTCTTCCGGAGGGCAACCTGATAAATAATGCGCCCGATTGTGCGAATATAATCACATCTAGGGAAGAAAGCGAAATCCTTGATCTCACAGCAGCGTTCAAGTCATATTGTATGACACTTAATCCCGACGAGCCCATAACATCCGCACTGAGAACCGAAGTGAATGATTGGATTGATAAATCAACCGAAATGCAACTATCAAATATCGGAGAGACACTATTATAGTCCTCGCTTCTCGACCGGATTATGACGGATAACCTGGTCCTTCTCGGTATTTCGTACTCTGCACTAACCCATTCTGCGGCACTACACGGCGCAGACCCGATCCGTACCACAGAGGTGGGTACTCTACTTAGTAGGTCAGCAAGCGAATATATGGAACATTCGATAGTAACAGTGTTTTGTCAACACCGGCCCGAATTGACTCAGCACATATCTTCCATTGTCGACTCACTTGGCCCAAGCTTCAAACGGGAATTTACTGACCACTTCTTCCCATCAATCTTTCCTGAACCACTACAGCGACTATGAGAGCCATACCATATGTTCATACATTGTATCATACATACTTGCCATTTTTGAAATAAATAATATTATCCCTATTATATGAGGAGGTGCTGGAGCTAGAAGGTAAGAAGGAAATACTCGATGAGTGTGATGAAGACAGTGAAGAGTTCAAAACCACGAGTGAACAACAGAAGGATCGTTTTGACCACATGAAGTCTCATGAAGCCGCGCAGAGAGTATCAAAACAATCCAAGCAATTGTAATGTTGTAGGCGCAGTACAAATCAACATGAACCTCAAAAATAGGTCCCAAGCGGCAAGGCCCCAAATTACCATTATTGTCAACCTCTAATTTTGTCCAATTTTGGCCGAAATAGGACCCTAGACAATAATCTAGGTATGACTGTAGTGGCGTTTTTAGTGGTCAGTATGTAGCGGACTGGTGCTCTATGGCTCTACCTGTCTACCACATACTAGAGTAGCAAACTAGCAGGTAGAGACTGCTCTGGGAGCCGTTAGGGCAACTTTCTCTCTGAATGGTGATAAAAAAATAGTGAATACTGAATTCATACTGAGAGTAGAGACGAAATTTTAAAAGAGTACGCTAGGCGGCGAAAGGCGATATCAACATAAAAAAAAACCAATGACAATGTTGGATAGCCTGCTGCCCTGCTTATGTTTTTTCTTTTCGAATCCTTGCTTGATTTTATATTTTTTAAAGTTTAAAATTTTAACTTCTCTGTCCTCTGCCCCACTCCTCTCGTCTCGATTCTCACAAGTGAGTGAGTCTCAACTCTCAACTCTCGAGTCTCGAGTCTCAACTCTCAAGTCTCAAGTCTGAGCTCTGAAGTCTCAACTCAAGTCTATTTAAAAAAAACAAAAACAAATACGTTCTCACTTCTCAGTCTTACTAACTTCTAAAAGTCCTCAGTCCATATCAGTCCTCTCAGCTCTCACCTCTCAGAATATAGTCCTCAGTCCTCACTCAAATAGATGACGTCTCTTTGTCTCAGACTCAAAATCTCAGCGGCGCAGGGCGTAGGCTAAACTCAAATCGTTATAAGTTGCAACGCAAATAAATGATCCGTTTATAGTATTTAGTAGGCCATATTCCAGGTCAGACAATTCACACCAGAATTTTGTCCCGACGACACCTGATATCAAAATTGAGACCAAAACACTTTGAATAGGTGTATTTATTCAGGTCAAAACATACAGGTTAAAATATACCAAGATACGTTGCAACGCTAAAAAAATATCCGTCAAACGTTGAAAAGTCAACTTTTATATACATGACGTCAAACGTTATGAGGTTCAAGTTAGGCGCAGGGCGAAGGACGCAGGGCACAGGGTGTAGGTCGCAGGACGGTACTTACTACATACTCTATAGAGTAGAGAGAGAGAGAGAGAATGTGTGTGTGTGTGTGACTGGTGGGGAGAGAGGCGTAGTGGCAGTGACCGTCTGACCAGTGGCTTACTAATCACTCTCTGTGACCTCACTGACCTCATAGGATCAAACTTCAGAGTCTCCGAGAGACGAACTCATCAGTCTCAAGTTCTTTTTTAAAAGTCCTTTTAGGACTCGTGCCCAAGGGCCAGTGCCCAGGGCCAGGGGTCTCAGTATCTCAGTCTCTCAGAGTATTAGTGAAGGGCTGAAGGCCCAGCCAAACGGGTTCGATAAATTTATTTTTTTGATTTTTACGATTGTTTTACGTTTGTTCGGTTTTTTTAGTTCGGATCTCTAGACCAATGGATGGACAGTATTATTTTAATTCAAGGAGAGGTTTCTCAAAAAAAAAAAGGAGTTTTTGAACGAAGTTTCAGTTTCGAGATCCGAAAAAAGACCTCGAAAGTCGACGTCTCGACAATCTGATAGGAAAGTAAAAATATGTACAGCATTCGGAAAACATAAATACGGTAACTTTCTCGGGTTACATTATGTACATATAACGTAAATTTGAAATGCCGCACACCCGCAGGCCGCAGCACACTATTTTCGGAAGAGTTCATTCTGATATATTTCATTGACCAATTTTTTTATTATCCAATCGGGAGTCAACTCTCGCGATTATCTTCTACTACGTAAACGAGTTGCACCTAAAATGGCTGAAAAATCCAAATTTCAAACGATTCACAGACTGAATCACAGTTCTAAAAGCCAGAAAGATTGAACCAAGACCGAAATTTTGTACATTCTGAACGAAAGAACCGAAAAAAGAAACCCTAAAAATCCGAACCCGTTTAAAAAAAAGACTGGGTCTTCATCAGTCAGTCCGAGTCAGATACCCATCTTTTAGGACTTCAGAAGTCTCTTCGAGTCCCGAGTCTCGAATCTCGAGTCCAGAACTTTATACTTTTAAGTGAACTACATACTATAGTCTGTTGACTCTGTTCTCAGTGTTCAGTGTTCAGTGTTCACAGTCCGTATAGCCTTCTCATGTATACATAAGGCTATGTCGCAGTAAGCTCATCACTTCACTGTTCATTGTGTTCACTGTTCAGGCTTCAGCTGTATTCACTCTTCAATTTTTTTTTGACGTTGTACCTCAATAACAAACTCTCTCCTGATCAGATATGCGAGTATGAGTCTATACTCTGTATTAAATTGTAATTGTAGTTTGTAACCCAGGACCCAGGGCCCAGAGAGTACTTGAGTACGAGTCATAACCATTTGAAATGCCTGCTTCTTTTTCTACATTTATAAAGACCCCCTCTCCCAGCACGGCAGAAACGGTGAAATGTCGAGCACTTTTGGGCGATCAAAGAGGCAAGTCTCAGTGACAGCAACTCTTATGAGTCATATTAGATTCATTTGATTCAGCCTCTCCCGATTCCGCCTCTCCAGCCTCTCATGTGACACAGGCTTCAGGAGTTAGGACTCAGGATTAGGAGTGTAGTTCCATAGCCTTCTGTCTATTTTGGTAGCCTATGCGTGGGGGGTTAGGACATATAAATAAATAAATATATATTTATATAA